ACCAACCAGGTCAACAGGCTCTCCTTGGCCTGCTTCTAGCCCAGCTGACAACCGAGTGGACAAAGGGGCCCTTGCTTTGCCCCTGGGGGAGTGAGGACGCCATGCCTGAATTCTTGACACTAACAGTTACCCTGAATGCCACAAAAGCTGATTTTAATCAACTCAGAGCAATGATAAGGCCCATGGTAAGCATTAGAGATGCCTCTTCTTTCCGCCAGCCCCTTTCTCTTGATAGTACATTGATGGGCAATGGTGTTGAGAACTGCAGTAGAAGTCTGGCCTTTTGTCTCTTTCACACCACGTCATTGTACTGTTTGTTTCCCCAGTTGTTCCAAGCCTTTCCGACCTTCATGAAACACGTGCCAGGTCCCCATCAGACCCTTCTTAACATTTGGAGAAGTCTCAAGTCCTTTGTAAGAGAAATAGTTGACAAGCACAAAGAAGATTGGAACCCACACGAAGCAAGAGACTTCATTGATGCATATCTGAACGAAATGGCCAAGGTAATTGATCAGCCGAGAGGAGGAGGGAAATTTGTTGCTTAACTTTGGGGCATTCCAGCATCTCTGAACCCTTGCATGACAGGACGTGGGGGTGAGAAGGAGGATGTGGAGGGGCAGGGCTAGAGCAGTGACTCTCCCCACATGCCTAAATGCCTGAAGGAGCCTGACATAGTTTCACAACTCCTCTGTGAAGTGTAAGAGTGAACCACCAACAGGAACAAGAATGATCAGAACAATTTGCGAAAAGATTTCTCTGGGGTCATACTGTGCTCTACGGATATTCCTGCCTGTGTGGATCCCATTTTCCTCGCTTTGGAATCCGGACCGGCAGTTATGCGCAGCCTTCCCCTTCCCTTCCTTTGCACTCAGTCCCAGCTTCAGAGACTCCAACACGCTTGATTTGATGATAAGAGGTCCTGAATGCAGACGTTGACCCATCTGCCAGCAAGGGCTGATGCCCTTAGTGAAAGGCTAACATGCTTCCTCGTTCCTGTTTTCTCAGGAAGACGCTGCTCCCAGTTTCCACGAGGAAGGCCTGCTACAGTGTGCACTGGATCTTTTTGGTGCCGGAATGGAGACGACTTCCGCAACGCTCTGCTGGGCTCTGCTGTACATGGCCCTTCACCCAGACATCCAAGGTAGGGCTGTGCGCGGGTCTTTGCACTGCTCCCTTATGATGATCGCTGCTCTGCACCTTGCTTGGTGAAGCCATTCTGTGTCCCCACGATGGGGGCAAAAGAGTCATTTCAGATCACAGTGTGAAAGTCTGTTTTGCAAACTCAGGAACAGAACTTGTCTCGGGACAACGCAATCTTGTGCCATTGAGCTGCCTCACTCAGGGCACGACCTAAAGCCATAGAAAGGGTATCTTGAAATCTTTCGCGTAGGTAAAGTGAGGAAAAATGACATCCCGGGAAACCCCCATTGGTGCAGGGACATCAAGAGCAGGAAAAGTTTTTCCCGGCCAAATGACAGGAGGTAGAAAGACACTTTCATGGATACCTTTTAGCAACGTTTGTCAATTTCTCCTTGGTAAATGTCAAGGAACATCTCATCTGTTCCAATGCTACCATTTTATGTTTGCCCTTTCATATGTGCTGGACTTTACATAGTCCGGAGGTTCTGTTCCCATAATCTACCGGACGGAGTATCTAATCTCAGGATTTTGAGGTGCCTGAACCATACCTATAGATGCTGTGCAGCCACTTTTAAAAAAAGCAAAGACGTTCTGAGTGTCAGAGAGAGAACTAGGCAGAGGTAGCTGTCAAAAGCGTTGGGTGGTGGTCCCCGCATGGACCTGCCCCACCACAGACGTCATCACAGGAATGCTTGGACTGACACAGAGAGCCGCTCCTTCTTCCACACCATGCACGTCGGGCGTGCGTGGGATGCGCTCTGCTCAGTGCTCGGGCACGGCCCCTGGTGCCGGCCCTGGTGGCTTAGAGGAGGCTTCCTTGCCTGATAGCTGCAAAGAGGAGACTCGGAGGGGACCTGTTGGCGACATGCAGGTATGTGAGGGGATGTCGCACGGAGGTGGACAGAGGCCTGTTCTCCCCTGCAGAGGAATGCAGGGCGCGCTCCAACGGAGCAAAGCTCAGGGAGCCAAGGTTCCATTTCTGACTCACTCTGTTTCTCTGTTTCTCTGTTTGTTTCCTACCTTCTCTGGATGTTTATTCTGCAGCCAGAGTCCAAGAAGAAATCGATTCCGTGATTGGGCAGTCGCGACTTCCAGCACTGGAGGACCGGGATCGCATGCCCTACACCAACGCGGTCATTCACGAAGTCCAGAGGTTCAGCAACATCGTGCCTCTAAATGTGCCCCGGATGGCTACGAGGGACACGACCCTGGCCGGGTTTTTCCTGCCCAAAGTAAGCCTTAAGGAAGCACTTCTAATCCTTGCAATGCATCCTCCCCTGGAAAGATAAACTTTATGCCAAGAATGTACATACCCTGCCTTTGTCCATGGTGGAGGAGAAACAAAATAATCCAGACAAGAAATAACGTAACATCCAGGCCAGTGAGCACAGGCTTACTCGGTTGCCCGTCCAGCCCCCTCCCACCGTGAGATTGTGTCTCGCCCATTGTTCCTGCCCCTCTGCTTCTGTGTGGTTGTGCAACCAGGGGGCATCCCCACTGCAACTGCAATGCGCATGGCCTGCCCTGGGAACACTTTTCAAGGGAGTTAGTCAAGACTGTGGGCACGAATGGGACTCTTCTCTCTTCGTGACTTGGCTCGAATGAGCTAGCAGGAGCTGCTGCCCTAGGGTTTATTTTCATCTGGCCGGGGTGCAATGGACTGGGGGCTCTTGGGTCCTTCCAGCTCCTCCATGAACCTGGATGTCCACTGCATTCCCTGTGACGTTCTCGAAGCCTGTCAGTTTGGTGGGCATCCAGTCCTAGCTCTGAAGCAGCCCCACTTTTTGAAAACATATTAAGACATCCAAACAGGGATCTGAGGCTAGTGTCCCAGTCCAAGGATTACTATGAAAGGAAGAGACAACCTCCAGGCCAAAAATTCTCTGTGTCTGTAGATACAGTGGGGGGTTGACGCATTCTCAGTGTGCTGATGAGGAGTACATTGAGGAGTCCCCTGACATTTCCATCGATTTCCTTCTCTATCTCTTCTTCAACAGGGAACCGTCCTGATGACCAACCTGACCTCCGTGCTGCACGACAAGGATGAGTGGGAAACCCCCGCTGTGTTCAATCCTGGCCATTTCCTTGAGAACGGCCACTTCAGGAAAAGGGAAGCGTTCATCCCGTTCTCTGCAGGTGGATGATGGGGGTGGTTGTGGTAGGGGTGCTGGTGGTGGTGATGATGATAAGATTTGATGAACTGCTCATAACTATTAGACAAAGCAGTGCTTATGTGGATACCCAAGTAACAGATGAGTCCTGAGGAGGGCATCAAGGATGATCTGGGGACTGGATTCTGGCAAATTTGGAGAAATTTGGAGAAACTGATTCATAACAGTATCCCCTCCCCCAGCCCTGATTTTTTTTATTCCATTTTGAAGACCTTTCTCAAAATTCTTTTGGAATTTTAAAAAAAATGTCCACTTGCTTACTGACACTGACAGGTTAGCGAAACAGGACTTTTCCTTCAGGAGGCCATGCTGATTTTCTTTTCAGCGGGTCTTGTCCCTCAGTGTGCTTCCTGATTCTTTCTTTAATAACACTTTCAAGCAATTTACCATGAACAGTCTTTAGGCACTGAATAGATAGTCACGCCTAGGGATGTGAGAGCAGTGGGAATCTCTTAGATTGCCTGGGCTTGCCTCCCCAGACTCCAGTCAACTTTTCCACAGCCCTGAGCCCAGAACACCCGAGTGCTCACCAGGATTCAAGCCCACACACTGCACAAGCAGCACCCATCTTCCACTCCCAGTTCTGTTGCTGTCGGTTCCACCAGATGGGGAAGTCGGTTGGCCGCCCAGAATGGCTCCCAGTGCACCCTGTCACATCACCCCATTTCGTGACCCACTGGGACTTTTTGGGCAGCTGCTCCTGATGAGGAGGGTGCTGGTTGTACAACATGCACTTGCAGACTTCCTCTTGGCTCGGCTCACTTGGCAGGACTGGGACTAGCAGGGGAGGAAATCTGCTGCTGCTGGAGGGGTGGACTCTGGCAGGGTTGTCCCAGGCCCAGCCGTTCCCACCTCAGCCACTAATGTTGTGCTCCTTTCCCAGCACTTGGAGGGTTGCAGGGCTGCTCCAAGACTTGTTCTTGGCAGTAATAACCGCCACTGAAAACATGCTGGCCCTGGGGGCATGTTGCTCCACCTCTTTGGCCTTCATCCCACCTAGCACTGGGCTACAGCCCTCTCATAAAGCTCCAAAGGACCCCTGAAACAGATTTTCAGAGGACACGTGGAACTGCTGGGACCAGAGGCACCGGGAGGCCGGCCTCCTTGCCCCCTTCCTCCATCCGTTGCAGCATCCCACCCTGCGGTTCGCTGGCTGCAGCCCCATTAACCAGACGCTTTACGTCTGAATCGCTGTGGAACGTGTTGTTCCCTCTCTAGGTCTTTGGGACTCCAGAAATTGAGAAAGGAGCATTAAGAAAGAAAGTTGGCACCACAGAGACTTCAATGGATCAGAGTGCTAAACTCCATTGCTGCATTTGCCCAGTTTCCCCTCTTGCCCAAATAAGTATTGGATACAACAGTTTTGTATATAATTTGTAGGCACATGACAACTGTGAGAATTGTGTGCCAAGTGCTCTGCTAATGTAGCCACTGTGTTGTCCTCTCTCCTAGGGAAGCGAGCGTGTCTCGGAGAGCTGTTGGCCAGGACGGAGCTTTTCCTTTTCTTCACTGCTCTGATCCAGAAGTTCACTTTCCAGGCTCCGGAGAATGTGACGCTACGCTCCGACCTCAGGGTCGGCAGCTCAATAGGTCCAAAGCCATACCGGATACATGCATCCTCTCGCTGACGGAAGCCACCTGATCCTTGGCCAGCTGTCAATATGTCCTTCCCTTCTGTTCTTGGGGGCCATTGTGGAACCTGTGCCAGGCACAGTCCCATAGACGTGGACTTAGAAACAGGGCGAGTCAGAAGGGGCTCCCGGGCTATCTAGTCTGACCCCCGGCTCCAGCCGGCTCTGCTCACGACATGCCCCCCATGTGCATGTCTAGCCTCTCCTTGGACACCCTCACTGATGGGGCCTCTGCCACCTCCCGTGGAAGCTCATTCCATGTCCTCGGGGTCCTGACTGTCAGGAAGTGCTTCCTGGCATCCAGACTGAACCTTGGTTCCCCGAGCCTTGCTCCATTGGAGCGCCTCCTGCCTTTCTCTGCAGGGGAGAACAGGTCTCTCCCCACCTCTGTGTGACACCCCCTGCATGTCTGCATGTCGCCAACAGATCCCCTCCGAGTCTCCTCTTCTCCCAGCTGAAGAGACCCAGCTCCCTCAGTCTCATCTCATTCAGATTTCCCTGCGAACCGGCCACCAGCCTTGCAGCCCTGAACTGCAAAGACTCTAACCCTTGTGATGCTTTGCCTCTTTCCCTGGGTGGGGAACTGTGCATATGAATGTCATGGGGCTGCAGCACTGGGGAAGAGTCCAAACTTTTCTAGGATGCATTCTGTTTTTTCGTGCTTCAAGACTAATAGAAAACTGTTGTGAAATACACATTTCAAGCAGGTCCAAGACCTGATATTATTTTTTTGCGGGGGGGGGGGGGGTGCAATTCTAGCTTTCCATCTCATGTTCTATTCCCCATTTTTCTTTCCAGGGAAGGATGGATATTTTGGCAGCTGTTTTCTATGCCAATCATGTTGATCACCCTGATTAGAAAACCTCTCACTTAGCTTGACCTATACTGGGATTTGCATCTCTTGGAATAGCCGATTGTTGTTAAAATATGCTGTCTGGGTGATAAAATGCCAAAGAAATTAAGAGGGTGGCCATGTGTTTTCCTTACAGAGCATAGTCTTCTATTCAAGTAGTCGCCAAAGAGCTGTCCTCTATTTGAAGGGGTTCTTTATCTGAGTCTGTTGAAGGAAAATAATCCCAAAGAACCTTTGCCGACCAGCAGTTCTTCCTCGAACAATAAAATAACCAGGCAGTGGCACTCAGGCCAGGCCCTTCCCCACTATGGGGAGATGTGTTGCATTTCAATTTTAAGTTGGCATCTCTATTCTTAAGTGCGCATGTGTCATCTCATGCTCATGACTGTCCCCTGCTTTGGTGATGCATAAACAGCCACACTGCTGCACGGGGGCAGTGGACTGAAAGGCAGGGGGCACGGCGACCTTCTGGGATCTGGACGCTGCCCCCCCCCCCGCTTGTCCCGGGCAGCTGCTGTGCGTCCCGCTCAGGCTTGCAGCTCCGCCCCCACCTGCCTGCGGACCCAGCTGGCTCTGGGCTGAACCCCAGGAAACAGGGACACTTGGACGGTCCATTGCATTGCATTTCTGCCAAAACGGGAATCGTCCCATCATGCCGCTCCAAAGGAAGAAGCAGCAGAGCACCGGTTTCCCACTGCTGCCTTGAGAAATGCTTTAATATACGCTGGAGAGGAAGGAGGGAGATGAGACCACCTGGAGTCCTCCTTCAGGAATCCCATGCACAAAGTTGTGGAGCTGTTATTCTCCTGCTTGAAAGCATCCTGCATCCCTTCCTCTCAGGAATCCTGACAGTGACTTTGTAATGTCAGCCAGCCCATACGACTCTAGGGGTACTGATGGGTGACTGCCCCTAAGAGACAGCGGTGCCCCGAGGCCACCTCCCTGGGGGGTTTGTGGTCAAGTTAGCTGCAAACAAGGGATTTCCACAGACTAAGTCACGGACTCTCAGCCCAAGCTTCCTCGCAGAGCAGGGATTGCGAGGATAACCTTTAGAGGAGGAGGAAAATCTTGTAAGCCCCCTGAGCTCCCTGAAAGCGGAAAGGCAGGAGGCAACTGCTGGTACTTCCAAGAGCAAGATGCCTATGAGCAGCGTCTCCCCTGGCCCTTGGACCGAGGGAGGCCAGGATGCGATGCGATGCGATGCAACTCGACTGCACTGGGTCGGGGTATGTGGCCCTGTTTTTGAGCATTGTTGCACAGGGGGCGAGCAGGCCAGAAGTTCTGGTTCCTCAGCAGCACGACAGAGCTCCTGCAGCAGACCATACTTCGAAATACAAAAGGGAGAAGAAGGTCCCCTCAGAGGGGTAGTGCTGCTGCTCCTAGTGCCTCACAGTTAAGAGCGATGCCTGAAATCATCTTGGTGAATCAAAAAAGACTATCTTGATCAGCCTACAAGAAGAAAGGACAGGGTGGCGAGACCAGATCTTGGCAGCCTGATTCCAAAGACTTTTCTTTGGAAAACCAGAAAAGAGCTTTCCACACATGATATGCCACTTTGAAATATCTGATGATGCCGTTTGGCTTGGTAGAAACCAATCCCTCCATCTTCATGCCTTTTGTGAATGATATGTTTCGTGAGGACTTGGTCAGATTTCTGGTTTCTAAGTGTAATAACCTACTGGCTCCTTCAAGTGTCCCAGCCAGCATGAAAAACATTTAAAAGCCAAGTTTAAAGATGACAAGCCAATCATCTTTTTGTCAAGTTGGAGAAATGTGTTTCTGAATGGCAAGCTTGATCCAACAAAATCTAAGCAATGCCTTCCATCCCAGAGCGGGATTCATTTTCCAGACTGTTCTGAAGGACACCAAAACAATGCGGCCTTTCCCATGTGCATACACCAGGCGGAGACTGCATCCAATGAAACATGCAAAATCCTGCAGCCTCTTTGTGAGCAGAGAAATGGGTGAGGCAGCCAGCGGGGTGGGGTGGGGGTGGGAGGGGCTTGACTATTTCACTGAATTTTGCCAGTGGGAGGACACGCCCTCCAGCACCTTCACACAGGTAGGGTTCCTTTGCAGCCCTGCCTCTTCCTGTTTTTCCCTGGAGCGCTTTGCATAGCTAGTTGCTCTTTGGCATTTTGCACTGGCTCGGGCCAGGAAGCAACGCTCTCCAGACCTTCCTGCCTGCAGAGCAGCTGATCAGCAGCAGGTTCAGCCACAGGAAGAGGAAACTTTTCTTTTCTGAATAATCTAAACTACAGTTTTGAAAAAGAGAGAGCTTAAATAGCCTTAAATCCTTCCGAAGTTTCTGCTTCTCTGCTGCTTTTTGCAGAGGGCATGTGAGCTGGAACGGCACCTGAGCAAGAGATCCAGGCTGCAGACCCCGCCTTGGTCCCAAGGGCTGGAGCAATGGAGCCCAGGAGCCCGCCCTGCTGACAGCACACGGCCTGCCAGGGAACGTGCAGGGCGTCGATCCCGATGTTACGGAGGGTGAGCGCGGGCAGGAGTTCGCTGGGCTGCTGTTGACAGCAGGGGGCACGGCAAGGGGCTGCTGGAGGGCAGGACAGCCTGCCATGGGGCTTGCATGGCATCCCCTTATCGAGCCTAAGGTGCCGTGGAGGGGCAGCTTTGCCCCCCATGCCAAATGGAGAGTCAGCCATTTCCATGCAAGGTTTTTTTTGGGGTGGGGGGGAACAGTCAGGCCACAAAATGCTTCCTCATTCCCTGTGCATTGACAAAGATGTTTTTCTCCTGCTTCTTCCATATTAGGGGAAAGGTGAGGCAATCTCTGTTCGGTGGGAGTGGTGTATTGCCCATTGGCAGGCAAACTTTGTCCTCCTTCATTGCATCAGCTGCAGGAAAAATACTCACAACAGCAGAGGAGAGAACAGCAGAGCGTCTTTTGCAGGGTTCCCCTCCATGGACCATCCAGCTTGGCCGGCTGCAGAGCGAGAAGATGCTGTGGCACTTACTTTCCGCGCTCCAGGAGGGCTTGTCTCTCCCCGTGGTTCTGGTGTTCCTGGCTACCTTCCTGCTCCTTGCTGACCACCTGAAAGGGAGGCGTCCCAGGGGGTATCCTCCGGGGCCCAGGCCTCTCCCTTTCCTGGGTAATATTCCACATGTTGGTGACAAGAAACCTCTTTCTGAGATACAAAAGGTAAGGATCGGGGCCAGTTGGAGGGACAAGTACTGCAAGGGAACATGTCCGGATACTGCGGTTTCCAAAGGATTCCGTAAGGTTGGAAGAGGTTGGGAAGTGGTCTGGGACACGAATCCTCCAAGAAAGG